ACCAGATATGGGACACCGCAGGTCAGGAGCGGTTCCAGTCGTTGGGCGTAGCGTTCTATAGGGGAGCGGACTGTTGTGTACTGGTGTTTGACGTGACGGCTCCCAACACTTTCAAGTCGTTGGACTCGTGGAGAGACGAGTTCCTCATTCAGGCCTCACCACGAGATCCCGAGAACTTCCCTTTCGTTGTGATCGGAAATAAAGTGGATTTAGAGAACAGAGCGGTCAGTATATCTGCGGTCATCTCTTAAAACATATATCAATCCGATTCTCGTATGACATACAGGTGTCGACCAAACGAGCGCAGGGCTGGTGTCAAAGCAAGAACAATATCCCGTACTTCGAGACCAGCGCTAAAGAGGCCATAAACGTTGAGCAGGCCTTCCAAACGGTGGCCAAAAACGGGTTGGCACAGGAGACTGAAGTCGAGTTATATAACACTGACTTTCCCGACAAAATTAATCTAAACAATGAAAATAGTAATAATAGAAGTGACAGCTGTGCCTGTTAGGTAACCCTCCCCTCCTCCCCCTCCCCCACACCACTTCTCCGCCCCTTTATATCGCATATAAACCACACAAACACACGTTTAGCTCAAAAGCGATTTTAACAATTTTCATATGCAGTAACAAAACAAACGAATCAGAAATTGATTGAAAATTGTAATACAATTTGATTATCAGATATACTATAAAAACGATATTTTCGTTTCGACATTGAGTTAAATATTATATTAATTACAATAATGTAATGTTAATTATATTCACAATTCTCTGTGTTTAGTATATTATATAATATTAATATCATTTTTTATGTACAGTTAATCAAAATGTTAATTATTATTAGACACCGATTTAGTGTTTTATTTTTTTGCTGTCTCTCGCTCTCCACTTCCCTATACTTTAAATGAGTAAAAATATATAAATATTGTTCTTATATTATCGTCTAATTAAATCAATTATTATATTATATATATTTATTACTCTTTTATTTGATTGAATAAAATGTGTTTTTTATTATAAATGTTGTTTTCAATAC